CAATGACGGAATCATAATACCTTCTATCGTCTGGCTAGCTCCGGCCACAACTTCACAGTCCACCACCATGAAACAATCTACTCGTGAGAACTCCCAATCTCTAATTCCATAGAACACATGAATCACCATATTTGATTCTACCTCCACCGCCCGAATGCCTAACACCTCTCTCATACACAATCATCCCACGAGAAATACTTAAAAAAAATTCTTCAGTGCCACCTTGCAAAAATTTGAATATCAACAGTCGATCAACCAGGAGAGTACCGCAATACCAGCGAAGTACCCATAAATCAAAATACACTGCCCCTTCTGAAATGTACACTCTCATCAAGCTATACCAGATAGTAATATTATTTACCTAGTCATCGGAAACCGTTCATGCTGCCTAAGAATTTATGTCCTTCCTTTCAAAATTGAATTGTGACCTTGTACAGGTAAATCCTATTCCCGCACAACACACCACATCTATTATGCCATCATGTGACAAGCATAAGAATTCCATTATCAACTCTGAGTCACTAGCAAATTACATACCTTATTAGTCAGAAACCTTTTTCTTGCTTCTTTCTAGGATGAAATCATAACACACAACACGTTCCGTACATCGGTAGAAAATATCCGGTTCAAACCATGGTAGAACCCATCATGAACACTTTGAAATCCATTTGCACATAACCAAGCTATCTGAACTGAATTCCTCTAACTCCACCAAGCCACACAGGTTGCCAAATTCGAGAGCATTGCCACGAAACACCTGTAGATACTAGCCACATCATAAGTACCCAAAGAACCGATCATACCCATTACTGTGCTAACCCATCCTACTACCAAGCTGTCCTATTTCTCCAAGTTCTTTCTAAATTGCCTTCAAATTGATACTTTTTCTTGTTAGAACACTACTATCCTTAACTAAAACTTACCCCACGAACTCTAGCATAGAATCACGCCGCCCTAAGGCTTATAAGCCGCCGAATTCCCTTTTTATGTATCCCAAAGTTTCCACAACCAAAAATACTTACTCCGAAAAGACTTTATGTGAACCTAAAACTGTTTCCTTCACCTTCTTGATACTAAAATGCATAATTCACAATGATATAAGATGCCACGAGTCTCAACACCGTTCAATGCAACTCCCAGTTTTCTAGCCATATTTATAAATCTTGAATCCATTGGAACTATTCTCGAGAGTCATCCACTGTACTCAAATCTCGAATTAACCGACCAAATGGACTGAAATGACATGTGCCCCATTAGTACACCAACACCCAAGGAAATAAAGAGTAACCCACACTCCTACGCAACCGAGCAAATTCCCGCTCCATGTACACTACATTCTCTGTGAATAACCACTCAATTATTTTATGGTCCTCCTATAACCATAGAGTGTAATACAACTTGTGTCCAGAAATTCCTTTACCCGAGTCATCCTCGATCTTGACCTCTGTAAGTCATAACTGATTCATCGGTATACCCCGAACCAAAACTAATACGACCCATAACCGTGCAATCAACTCATCGATAGCAGACTCCCCCACTTAGCCTTAAGCTGCAATTATATAAAATTTGAACCCGTAAGGATTTCTCCTTCTCAATTACCAAGGTCTCGTACCGTTAACCTGCCAGACTTCTCGAAGTCTTTTATTAAGCCTTACATGAACATTCTGAATCTCCAGCCAAAATCATACACGTGACCTCCTACTGGGTAGCAAGTAATATTCCTCACAAAAGTTTCATCAAAATCACGCCACCGCTAGATGCACACAGGAGATAACCCACATGTGGAATTCCTTACCGACATCTTCCAATGACACAACACTGAGTGCAACGACCACTAAATCCATAAATTCTCATGAGTTCATGCTCGCCCACCATTTGTATAAGTCTGCACTTTCCCCATTGACATTAATTGTACGTCAACAATACCTTCCGAACTCAAGTCATATTACACCTGACACGATTATCAGATCTTCACGCCTCTATTCATTTCAAACACACTCCTTTATGCCATATTCAATTTTTCCTTTGTACACTAACCATTACTCCAAATAGAGTCTGCAGGCCGATTCACATACTAACATAATTCCAAACCATTCTACACTTTCTCAAAGCGCACGACTACCCTACTAGTGAATTCATATGCTAATCTGCCACTCTTACTTCGGTTAAATCATCTCATTTAAGAAGCTTCTTAACCTCTACTTCTCCTACTTGACCTGCTAGTACTTCAACTACTGCGAAACACTTCCCGTCATGTCTTCCCTCATACTTTGCTACCCAACTGCTGCATCAAATCGAAATGTATCTCTATCGCACCTGAACCAATAAAATGTTACCGACTCTAAGTCTCTTCGAAGATCATCTTTCTCGAGCCATCAATATCAAAAATACCCATTCGCAACCACAATTACTACACAATCACTTACTCTTCTTGAGTCCAAACTCATTGACAAGACATGAGAATTTAACTTGCCCCAAAATTTAACAACATGAAAGATCCTTCAAAACATTCACACTCGAGACCATACGTCACATCAAAATGAAAAATCAAGCGCCCAATGGACTTCCTTTACAATTCAAGGAAACACTTCTCGTCACATTCAAATCGTCTTAACACATCCCGCAGTTACATCATACTCATCACAAAGCCATTCCACCGCTCATCGAGCCACAAATTCCACTCGTAGGGGCATTACCAGACATATGAATTCAAATGTATAGGTTACAACTGAAGCTACCGAGCCAAAGCTACGGTTTAAACCTGGTCTCAAGTCCTGCAGACTAGCCCATCACCAAAACACATAATACACATCTCGAACCTCGTTCATAGAATCACAAGCCGGCGATGCACAACTGATACCGAGCGCTCATGTGCGCATACGAATACGTGGAAGGAATTCAAAGAGTTATGTTTCAAGCTGAATCAATTTCACACGATAGAATACAAGAAAGTGAAATTTTTCTCAGGGTTCTGCAGCCTCTCGAAGATAAGTACAGACGTCTCTGTACCGATCCGCAAGACTCTACTAAACCCGCTTATAACTCGTGAGACCTATGTAACCTAGGCTCTGATACCAAGCTGTCATGACCCAAACAAACCCTCTGTCGTGATGGCGCCTATGGTGGAACTAGGCAAGCCGACTCATTTCCAAAAGAAATTGATATTTTCATTTCAAAGATAATTTCAGTGCTATTTAACATAAAAACCTTCGCAAAGGAGTTCAAATCAAAACAAAAGTGCGGAAGGAAAAGCCCGACATCGGGGTGTCACTAGTCATAAGTATCTACTACAATCTATTTAACAATATCAAGGCTAACTCAGCCTGGAAAATAGCTAAATACAACTAGAGGAATATAAGAGGAAGAAGAGCAGGGGCTGCAGTCGCCAAGCAGCTACCTTGCTATCCCCGAGAAAATCTGTAACCAAAATAATCAACAACCGCTATCGTGTCCAGCTATACCTGGATCTGCACAAAAAGTGCACGGAGTAACGTAAGTATGCCAACTCAGTAAGTAACAACAATAAATAAAGACTGAGCAGTAGTGACGAGCAATAATGCAAACCCAGTTCCAGTAAAAATCATTTAAATATATTTGAATCAAAATATCTCGTTTAAACCCAGTTCCAGTAAAAATCATTTAAATATATTTTTCAATAGTTTTCAAACAGAGGAAAAATGCAAAGGTGAGCAAAAATGATGAAATCATAAACAGCTCCTCGAGCAAAACATCACTCATATACAGCCCCTCGGGAAAACCTCACATTCACTCGTACCACTCGGGCATACCTCACAATCACCCATGCCTCCCAGTCACTCGGCACTCGCACTCAGTAGGTACTTGCGCTCATTGGGGGTGTGTACAGACTCCGGAGGGGCTCCTTCAGCCCAAGCGCTATAATCTGCACGGACAACTCACGTGCTATAATAATAAAGTATGCTGCAGGCGGGCAGCCTCGATCCACACTCATCCTCACAATCAGGCCCTCGGCCGATATCAAACATGTTGCGGCGTGCAGCCCGATCCCATAAATATCCTCATAAATCAGGCCCTCAACCTCACTCAGTCATAAACCTCTCAAGCTACTCGGGCATTTCAGTAAAACAGGGTGCTCAACCCAAAACAACATTTATATGCATCAAAATAGAGTCATAAAACTGAGTTATGCAGTAAACAAGTGTAACCATGTCTGAGTATAGATTTTCAATCGAAAACAATGAGAGGATAGTAAGAAAAGGCCCTTAAGGGTCTAAACAACACTGGCACAAGGCCGCCCAAACATGGCATTCAGTCCAATTTACAGAAACTCTTTCTAAAACATATAAGTATCATATAGTTTTAACAAAGTATGCAACTTTACAGTTGCTACGGGACGGACCAAGTCACGATCCCCAACAGTGCATGCCCACACGCCTGTCACCTAGCATGTGCGTTACTAAAAATAATAGAATGATACAAAATCCGGGGTTTCGTACCCTCAAGACTAGATTTACAATCGTTACTTACCTCAAACCGGTCAAATCTCTACCTCGCAATGCTCTTGCCTCTGTACTCGGCCTCCAAATGCTCCAAATCTATTCACAATCAGTACAATACCATCAATATACGCTAATGGAATGAATTCCAATGGAAAAGATAAAAAATTAGACCAAAACCCGAAATTGGCTCAAACCCGGCCCCTGGGCCCATGTCTCGAAATCCGACAAAATTTACAAAACAAGATATCTCATTCACTCACGAGTATAACCATACCAAATTCATCAAAATCCGACATCGTTTGGTCCTTCAAATTCTTAAATTACTTCTCCAAAAATCCCAAGTCCTAACCCCTTATTTTCACTAATTATAATGACTAAACAACAGAAAATTACCATATATACAAGTATTAGGGCTCAAGCAACTTACCTCACTGATAGATCTTGAATCACCCTTCAAAAATCACTCCAAAAGCTCCACAAACCGACTTGAAAATGGTGGAAATGAACCAAGTTCGCGAAGCATTCTATTTATGGTTTCTGCCTAGGTTTTCGCACCTGCGGCTCTTTTTCTGTGCCTGCGGGACCGCACCTACGGTCTAGGTGCCGCATCCGCGAACTCCACTTAATTCCCCAGCTTCCGCACCTGCGCTCCAGGCCTCGCACATGCGGGCTCATAGGTGCGTCCAAATCCTTCGCGCCTGCGCTCCAGCCTTGGCCTCACATTTTTTTCCGCATCTGCACAGCAAATTCTCGCGCCTGCGAAAGCGCACCTGCGCGTTTCCTCCGCTTCTGTGAAGCCTGCCTAGCATCTCCCTTTCTGCATCTGTGCCCCAGGTTTCGCACCTGCGGGCTCGCAGATGCGACCTCCAACTCGCACCTGCGCAACCTGCCTAGCCTAGCATTGCCCGCACCTACGAACTCCCCACGCGCACCAGCGGCCTCGCACCTGCGACTCTTTCTTCCGCAGGTGCGAAAATAGTAGTAGCAGCAGCTTCAGCTGCATTTTCCAACTCTGACAAATCTGTTAACCACCCGGAATCACCCCGAGGCCCTCGGGACCTCAACCAAAAATACCAACAAGTCATATATCAACATACAAACTTAGTCGAACCTTCGAATCACTCAAAACAACATCAAATCATCAAATTACCCTCGGATTCAAGCCTAAGAACTTCTAAATTTTCAAATTCGGCAACCGATGCCGAAACCAACCAAACCACTTCCGAATGACCTCAAATTTTGCACACACATCACAAATGACACTACGAACCTACTCCAACTTTCGGAAATCCATTCCGACCCCGATATCAAATTTTTCAATGCCGACTGAAATAGCCAAATTTTCAAATTTCGCCAATTCAAGCCTAATTCTACCACTGACCTCCAAATCACATTTCGGACGCACTACTAAGTCCAAAATCACCTAACAGAGCCATCAGAATTGAAATCCGAGATCGTTTATACATAGGTCAATATTTGGTTGACTTTTTCAATTTAAGGTTCTAAATAAGAGACTAAGTGTCTCATTCCCCTCCGAAATCACTCCGGGCCCGAACCAACTAACCTGGTATATCATAATATAGCTTAAGAGCATAAAGGAAACAAAAATGGAGGAAATGGGGCTATAACTCCCGAAACGACCGGCCGGGTTGTTACACTAAATCACTTATTATTCTCAAGGCATAAAGAAGTCAAGATATATTGCTTTCATTTAAAATCACAGCACAAGGTTTCCTACTCCTAAAAAAAACTAACTATACCTGGTTCAAATAAAACTCTTGGAAAAGAACCGCGGTACAAAGAAAAACCAAGGGGAAATTATTATACTACCTAAAGAAAATAATATATATATATATATATATTATATATATATATATATATATATATATATATATGAATTTAATGCTTCTTACCAGTGGATGGACAAGTTATACTGTGCAAAGTTAGTAACATTTATTTGAACTCTATCTCCTTCTCTAGCATATATAGTTGGCCCGGGAAATCTCCCATTAACTGTAACAATTGGTTTTGCATGGCACAATCTGCTCACATTTGCCACTTGAACCTGTAAAACACAGAAAGTTGGCCATGAGGAAAAGAAAAGAACCAAATGAGGGTATAAAACAAATCATTAGGTAAGAACCACACAGTAAACAAAAGAATATTTTTCTTGAAAATTGAAGACACTAACATCAAACTGATATTTCTTAAGGGCAGCCTCAGCAGGTAGACAAATGAAACAAAGAAATCCAATGACAAGGAAGCCTAGCAGTGGAAAGAAACTTGTCTGCTTTGCCATTTTTCTTAGCTAGAAGTTCTTAAACTACTGTGTGAATGGATGATGAGATAAGGGTACAAGTAAGAGGCATATTTATATAAGTTAAATGCCAGAGGCAAAAACCATTTATGAGTTTTTCGGTTTGTTAAGGGAAGAGGGGGTTGTAACAGAGATTAGGTAGAAAAAGATTTGAATGGGCTGTACTGCAAAGCTTTTAAGCAAAATACTGATATAGACATTTTGTGAGCCATTGACTAGCGTAGAGGCTAAAATCAAAGGCCACCATACTCAATCTAAAAAGGAAGGGAAGTTTATACAATAGCATATTAGTTTTGAACTTTAGCTTAACGGTAAAGAAAGACGTAAGCTCACTGTTTGGTGCTATTACATAAGGAGGTGGACGTTCATTAGTATGTAAAATGAGACAGACATTAATTCCTTAAGGAACATTAGTCTTAACTTCAGATTTTGCTTTCTGTCAATAATACTAATTCCTATCGAGTTCACTTCTTGTTTAAGAGCTGGTTTTACTTCTAAGATTTTGTTGCTTTTCTTCATTTCCTCGAATTCTTGGCCACGCTTTGCTTCGGGAAGCCTTAGATCTCACTTAAAATGTTCTGTTAAGATTTCCTTTTACGATGAACAACCTCTAGCTAATACCAGACCACTTATATATTTGTTGCAGAAAAATTCAAGTTGTGCAGCGTTAAAATGTTAAATGACCAGGTTTACTGCATTACATTTGATTAATACTAAAACAAAGCTAAGCAGTTGAATATTAATTTAAATCAATATGGCTGCTAAACATATTACGGTAATAATATGACGTCTTTTGGAGTATGAAGCATATTTTGCTTTTAGAAAATAAGAAATGAACCAAATCGATGTTTTCCTAAAACTAAGACAAATGTTCCCTATTTTATTTTATTTTGTTTCAAACTTTTCTCCAATATTATTTTTGAATATTTTCAAAACCAAACGTAATTGCTACTTTCATGCTCGAAATTTTTACTGTTAATTCTGTAATTTAAGATAAGGAAATAGAAAAGCAAAAATGGAAATATCACTTGAGAATCAGTTGTATTGTACATGTTAACTAGCGGGGTTGGTGAGTGAGTATAAGTTTTTATTTTTTTATTTTGGTGAAGTAGGTTTACATAAAAGGAATGACGTATTTTCCAGAAGGAATGAGTTGTTATAATTCTAGTTTATTTTTGGTAGGAAATAGGACTATCCCCTCACTCACCCCCCGTCCCAAACCCCTCCCACAAATTTAATCATTTGCATGCTATAAATCATCTTGCAAAATGGCCAATTAAATTAATCAAATAAAATAACATTATTTAATACTCAATGAAATTACAAATAGAAAGTTTTTGATAGGTGTCCATTCGAAGAATCCCAACGAGTTCATGGGAGAAATTAGAAGCTAGTGGTAGTTGAAAACTCAGCTTCATTGGCTGCTCAATCGTAGCAGTTGATATAGACATAACAAGGAAGGAAATTGCTAAAATAGATAAGTGTTCGTTGTGCTTTTATAATCTTGTAAACCTACTATAAGTATCACCATTTGTTAGACACTTTTTGATGGGTATTTTTGTGTGTGTGTGTGTGGGTGG